AATTTTATAAAAAATACATATCTGTATGTATTTTATTGAATTGTTAGTTTTACAAACTTTCTTCTACATAAGTATTTAAAAATAGTTCACAGAAGTTTTAAACTATTTCTTCAATACAACAGTGACATTTACAATGCCACATGCACAAGATGTTCCATTTCACGCGATATTCATTTTACTTTTCTAAGCTTACTAATATTATAAATGCCAAAGTTTTGATGTTTGGATTTTAGTTACTCAATCACGCCAAATTGGTCTTGGTCGCCAAACGGTTGGATGGATCTGGATGAAATTTGGCACAGGCGTACGATACACTCCAGAATAGGACATACGCTACTTTTTAACAACATACGGGCGAAGCCGCAGGCGTAAGCTAGTATTAGATAATTATCGCACTTACACACAATCCCTTCAAAGTTAATCATCAAATTATCCTTTAACATCACATAGTCAACATCATGACCCGGATGCAATTAAACTATGTCCATAACCCACTATCAAAATTCGTGGAAGCATTTAATTTATAGTTTACGTTATAGTTTTTGCAATAATAATCAATGCGTTTATCATCGCTGCCATGTGTGACACGGACGCGGCCGCGTGGTGCGGGACCTACCAAAAAACCGAACAAGATTTATACTGCTCTTGACTTTTGTAGAATTGCCCGTTGCTAAGGGCTTAACTTATGGTATGGATTGTTTGTGTTGTTTCATTTGTATGTGTAGTGCGAGAAAGTTCAAACTGTTTATTTTGAACCTAAATTCCTAAATCAAATCGATTAAAAGTAAATTGCTAATAATGTCAACGCAAAGCAATGATTTTATAATAATTTACGTGATTATGATTTTTTCAAAATTGCCTACGCCATCATATAAACATGAACCCCCTTTTCTATGAAGTTAATGAAGTCCATTTTTCACCTATAACCTTTTTGTACCTCTAGAAAAGTCTTAAATATACCTAGTAAGTACCGACTAACGAATCCTCAATAAGTAGCGACTTTTATCACAATATTCCCGTCGAACCTCAATAAAATTTTCGTCGAAAACATAAATGTTTACGACACAATAAATAGCTTACCGGAAAATGTGTATCTTGATATCTCCTGAAATTCCTGTACCTACGCGATATTTATTGGAGAAACTATTCGTCTAACCAGACTCTGACTCATTTTATTTATGTTCCAATGCAGAGGTGGGCAAGCACTTTACACAATTATAGTGCTCTATTCTTGGAGTCTTGTTGAGGATTTTTATTCCAAATTGTTTATAAATCAATTAATCAGCCTTAAAACCGAATTAGGACGTGGTTTGGAGTTATTCTATAGATATCGTTTCGGAATATTTTTCTTAGGGTTGATTTCTCAATAGTTTGATAAATCTATTATCAGAGGAATCACACTGGTGCGACAGCATCATAATTATTCTCTAGGTAACTTTTATCTAATCATTGAAAATTCAGCCCTAAGAAAAATATTCCGAAACGACCTCTTAGATCTTAGAGCAGTTGGTCTTTCGATAATGGCACTGACTCCATTTTGACTATTCTTACTTTTTAAATTAAAAAAAATAGCTTTTTTTATTGGTTGGTAGGTCAGTCAAATTCTATCGAATGTGTTACCTACACTGGCTTATTTTAACCATTATGACATATCATAATCACTACAGCTTGTGATAGTCTGATAGCGCTCTTAGCGGTGCGCGCGGAACGCGCAAGCGACGCGTTCGGGGTAATGCGCTCGAGTCTGGGGCGCTACCTTTGCTTGTCGTCCGCAGACCCGACTAACATTATTTATTATGTATTTAAAAAAGGCATAAGACTGGTGATTGCAAGGGTGAAAAGTCTAAATATAATTAATCTCTTATTTATTTAATTATTATAATTTAATTTATCTTATTTTGAATTCCGGGTTTTCAATGGAAATTCTCGTTAGTGGTCGCTTCGTATAGGTAACATAACACTAATATATAGAGATTATCTGTATATAGAATCCATTTTTAGATAGATCAAAAACTAAATCTACATAAATTTGTAGAAGTACTTATTTAAAAACCCAAATACTACTATTACGAGTAACATATAAGACAAACGGATTGGAAGTGATCAAGTCGAGTAGCGACGGAGTTTTTTCAGTCCCACGTCCGCCGGTCGTCCGTTAATTACCACAAAAACTGGCCACCCCAGTCGGCTCATTAATCTACATTGATATGTTTTGGACAAAGCTGCTTCTTTGTTTTTCAAACACGCTTAACATATTTGTATTACATTTCGAATAACAAAACATTTATGAACTATTAATTGTATCCCATAATGTTTTGTTTTTTTTGCTTGATTCGTTTTCGTTTCTCATGTAAATCATTTCAAACGACAGTTTTAAACTATTATTGTTTTAGTACCGACGAAATTATTTAAATTTTCCATTAATCACAAGCGTTTCGAGTGCTTCGGATAATAAAACAATACGTTTTTAAAGGTACATTTGATTTATTGAACTAATATTGTAGGAACCCGTTTTTAAACATTATGAAAAACTTAAAGGGATTTTAGGGTATCCTAAAATCTGTAGGTACCCTAAAAATAATGTATCTCGTACCTATATGAGTTTAAGTAAAATGATGTAGTTAAACGAAATAAAATTAACTATTAGAATTAACCTAATTAGTGTTATTACTTCATTTTGTTATTTTTAATTGAAGTGAAATATTACGTACTATCTACTCTCGCGCGGTTTCAACCGTTGCTAAGCTCCATTTGATCGTAGCGTGATGTTTTATAGCCTGTAGCACTCAGGAACTTTGTAGCTATCTATCAGTGTAAGAATTTTGGCAATCCGACCAGTGGTTACAAAGATTACCCCCTACATACAAACTTACAAACATACAATTTACAAATTTTACCTCAATATAATATTAGTATAGAAGTATAGATTATTTTACAGGACTGACACAAAATTCTTTTGAATGGTGTATCATCGTCAGTGATTTACATGCACAAAGATTTTACAAAAAAAACTGCTTACAGCAAACAATATAATTAAACACAAGTAATCAACAATCATGTAACAACTACAGATTCATTTGAAAAACAATTCGCGGAGCAAAACGTACCTACATATTTACTCCGCGATTTTTCAGTAACAGATCTCCATCGGCACCCGTTTAATCTTCACACGAAACTTTGATGTAGCGAGTTTGAAATCTTAGGAACATTATCCGCCATCTCGAAATGTTTGCGAGACAAAAAGATGATGGTAAAGATCTGAAAGCGGTGTGACACGGCTGCCACGGCTGGATGTCAATCGTCAGCGCAGGCGTCGATCGCACTCGCTGCTGACGGATAGATGAATGAACACTATCAGAAAAGACCGATGGGAACGCGAAGTATTTGAGTCTCAAATACTTTGCCAGACGACCGTTCTATTCGCCTTATAAGCATTATTATGTTTTAGCATATAAAATCAATTCCACTTTTCGTTGTAATGTTATAACTCAACAATGCTTTCACCGACTTGGCTAATTTTGGTCTTGAATTATTCGTGGAAGTCCAGGGAAGGTTCAAAAGGTGAGAAAACTTAAATTAATTTTGAGGCGGAACGTAGTTTGCCAGGTCAGCTACGTAGTAATGTAGAACTATAAAGGACATTTAAAAATTACAGTACGCTAAAGAGTTTTTTGCACACCCAACACCGCAAAAATCTTTAGGACATAGACGGAACGCTATATTTTTTTTTTTGTGGGAATTGACGCCGTGATTTTTTCTTAAATACGAAACCTATTGTTGTACGAAACGAATGTTATTTTTTTTTCTTCCTATCTAAAGACGTTGTGTGCGGTAGGCACATAAAGTTTTTTTATACATTATATTTTGTTTTAGAGACAATTTTTAACTTTTTTTGCAGCAATACCCACCTTTGGGAATGCTGTACTTATGAAACTGAACTTCATGAAATATTATAACATTATATAGGGCATATCTACTACATTTTTGAATAATCCTGCAATTGAAATAAATGTAAGCGATTTCTAATAATTCGGGAAATTTACGTTTTATCCGACGTGGAATTAAACAGTACGAGACACACGGGTTTTCCACTATCTCTGACGATATAATGTATTTCTATAGAACTTTAGATATTTTTATGGAACCATTGAATCCCTATGTTTTCAACAAAGCTGGCAGCTGTTTTAGACGAATTATCGAAATACTTATATAATTTTTCTAAATTTTGTCCGTGAAAAGAATTAAGTTAATGGAAAAAAAAGCTCTCTGTTCAAAACTTTATCTCAGATTTCGCAAGAAGGAACTTTATCTAATTAATTGTTTCACTTTAATGTTAAAAACATAAAACTGAATGTAAAGATTATCAAAATATTATATCACTTACAAATAAAATACATATTTCAAAAACTATGTTTTCACACAATTAGCACTCTACCTGTATAAAATTAAAATTTGATACATGAAACACTGAAAAACACCATCGTGGTAGAGCAAAAATTCAAAGAATTTGACATTCGTGCATATGTCTCTTCGTCGGTGGTAAAAATCATGCAAGTCATTATGTATGCAAAAAATTAGAGCAAACCTTTTGTGCCATCGTTTTGGAGGGGTTTAACAAGATTTGGAGGGTTGTTTCAACTTGTAGGAAACAAAAATGTATGCAATAATACCACACAGTGGAAACTAAAATCAATTTCACAAATAGCACTAGATAGATTTTTATATCTTTTAAACAGAATGACAATAACAAAGGCAGAACTTAGAAAAAAAATATTACACAGGACATCGAACGATGAAAAGATACAACTTTGTTTTCTTTTCATTTCAACATTATATATCTTTCACTGTATGAGCTGAACTTTACCCTTTCTCTCAACGGGGACTCAGACAAAACAAAGACAATTTACCGGTTCGTCAGAGACGGGAGTTGTCTTATTGGATCTCCATCAATCGGCACAAAAGACATGCAGCTAATCGCACAACTAGGATCAGTGACTGACCATCGAGTTGGCGCGGCTGCTGCCACTCGCCCCGCCATTCTTGTCCCTCCATCACATTTCCTCACCGGCGGCCGATTATTTTTTCAACGCGACACAATAAATCAGTTTTCTGTGCGTTAATCAAGTTATGCGGCGCGCGCGCAGACGGCGGCGCGAGGAGAACGCTTCTGTCGTCGGCGTACGTCGGCAGAGTCGAGCCCGCCCTGGCCCGCCCACCGCCCAATCGCGAGACCGTTTATTCCCACAGCGGTTCTCGGGCTTTATTTATTTTCATCTGAATTATGTACTGCAGTGTTTGTTGCTTCGAATCTTACCTGTGTTGTACGCACCACTTAGACGGATGTTATCGACGATGTACGTTTTGATTTAACTCTTAAACTTATGTACCTATTGAAGCCCACTCACCAGGTGAAATTGTCCAGAAACGTTTGTTGAGTCTAAGTTATATTTTAAATCGAGACTCGGTACCGGCTACGTGGTCGTAATTTAGTCTTTAATTACTTACAGACTACGTTAATCGGACATAACAAGAGAATTTATGTTAAATTTTCCTCTTCATCTTTATAAAAGCTTTTGTGAGATCAACGGGCGCAGGTAGGTAGACAAGAGGTACGAGGTAACATAAATATTAATATTCTCTAGAAATACAAATAACGATAATCTCAAAAAGTGCTTAAATATTTATTCATACTCATTCTTTTGTTTGGTTCAATTATTATTGTCACTGTAAATAGTATTGTCAATTTTGTAAAATTCTCCTTTCCATTTCTCTCTCTCGCCTACGCTTTCATGGTTTTTTTTTCAGCTTATTTTTATGCTGTTTCCAATTATTACCTATAATTACCTATATAGCACCCGTTCTCAAATCAAAATCCACATTTACTTTAACTAACTACCTACCAAATTACCTGGATTACGGAGACGAATAAAAGTGTCCAATAAAAAAATAGTTTACACGTGTTCGACTTTGGTACTAACCTCCTTAAAGTCTAGAACATTATTTCTTCTGTATAACTTATCTCTCAACACACAAGTGTGAATTTTATTTATCTCGCGAGCAGTGAGCTCATTGATCAATCCATGCAGTAAACATCCACTTCAGTGCAGCTTCTGATTCACAGGTAGGAATTCTTTGTATAAACAACGTTGTAGGTAGATATATTGGACTAGGAAAAAGTATAAACCCCTGGATACGGTACTGTAGATACTCTAGAACATAAGACATGCGAGATACAAATTAAAACTCCTTTCAAAATAATAAAACTATATAATAATTAGTTCTCATGTGAATGTTAATGGGAATATGAGCCCTTAACCCGGCTTGAAACTAGTCAAGTACCTCGTCAAAAGGGTAACGTGAGTAAGTAGTGATATAACACAATTAATCATCAAACTTTAAGCGAACACCGTCGACCTTTTGTCTTTCTATTTTGTCTCAGAATACATCGATTGAAAGGTCAATTAAAAAATATTTGTTTTGTTTCTAAGTATACAAAAAGCTTACCTGCTTGAGTACAAAGAACTATATTTTCTTTTCTCAAATCACTCTTCACACTATCTATCTATTTATTATTTATTTATTTATCCTTAGGTCGCAATAGCAAGTAAATTATAAGCTAAGCCCCACAAAACCATTGTAACGGTTTGACTGTGGGGTCAATGAAATGAAATCTATTTGTCTTTGGTCATCCTCTGTATTTCCCTTCCCATTCATATACCTAACTTAAAATAAGTAAGTACTCGGTTTATTACGTAGGTAATACAAAATGGCAAAGTAGTGTCAAATTGCCATACAAAATGTAAATTGAGCTGTTCGTGTCATTTAAACATCATACTAACGATTATAACTGGTTTGACTAAATCAGCATTAAATTAGCACAACAGTAGGTACTTACTATGATTAGAATAAAAATAGTAGGTATATATAATTATATTTAGATACATTGACATTGTATTGAAATTAACGATTATTGTTCTGAACCTATAAGAAATCTCAAGAGGTGACCCACTCCTTCAAATTATATTCCCACAGCGTCACTGCCCTGGAATTTAAAGAAAATAGAACATAAGATCGCACCGTTATTTCACATCAACTCAACATCGTCCCCTTCCAGCAGGCCAGGGTTTACAGGTCAAGCACAATAATGTACCACGACCTCAACCTGGAGCAGGAGACGGTACGGGCTGGTTTTTAGTCAGTAAGAATCTTAGGCGTAAAGGTAAGGAAATCTTTGCATTGATACTTATTTCTTTAGGTTTCACCACACCACATTCTTACATTTATTTTGGTTAATTTTTTTTTTTTTTTGTAATACCTTCCGAAACCTTAGAACTGTAAAGGAAATGTATTTGACAACATCAATTATTCATCAAAAAAATATGATGGTATCATCCTCCACCCAAAGTTATAAATCTGCGGATTGCTCATATACAACCTATATAAAATAATGAAAAAAAAAAAACAAGTTACCTTCAAGTATACAGCAAGAAACAAATAACTAAACTAAATATGATTAATTTTGGACATTATTGGTACGATAAGTCGAAATTATTCCTTTTTTTAATACTTTATTCTTCACCTGAACCTGGGTTTTCTGGAAGTGGTGAAAGTAGTTCATTCGAAGCAGGATATTTACTTACCACCAGGTAAGTAAAACTCCCATTTTTTCATTATATTTGTAGACGGTATCGCCTCTATAGTGCAATTAATTACTCTCCTCTATAGTAATTACATAATCGTTATTGTTTCCGTGTGAACTTATCATCAGTTCTCTAATACTACGACGGCTACGCGCGCTACGAGTACTCGTAGCAAAATATTAATGTTAAGAATTTAATGAACGAGTCAGTATTTACGAAATTATCAGGTAAATTTCCTCTAATAACCAGACCTATCTAACTGAAAAGTAATTTATACCAAAAACCTACTTTTTTTAAATACATAAACGTATAAGTATCTACCTACTAAATGTAGATTTTTTTTTCCACTTTCTTATAGAAATTCCTTTCCACTTTGATATCATAAACTTTCAATATTTCTTTTTTATTTGAACATTTTCATAACAATTGTAGAGATAACTCAATTATCTGGTCTTTTTTCATACAATTTATAAATTAGAATGTTTGTTTGTGTTTAGTTTTAATGAGGAAAACATTACCTATTTCAGCAAATATTAATAGGAAAACATATATATACAATTTTATGTAGGGAGTTCTTGATCCATGACATGGATAGAATATATCATGAAACTTTACTTATTATTTGGGATACAATGGATACTAACGGAACGTGAAAAAGGCAAAGTTGAAATACCACATTTAACATACAATATACCTACTTGTAATAGAGAATAGATTTATAAAAAAAAACATAATTCCCTTAAAAAAAAACATGTCACTAACAAAAAAAAGTTTTGTAAAACGAAATTTATTTTTATTATCACATTATTTTTTATTTCCAACAATCCTGTCGAATGATATGTGAACGAAACATAACAACATTATAATTCATAATATTTTATGCGATTTTATTTATTATCTGTAACCATATCATTAGATATTCTCCCAATATTTTCGGTGAAGAGAAAAGCTTTTTTTAAACTGGAGGCGTGACTTACATGTTGCTGTCTCGCTCTATATTGAACCATTTAGCAAGTGTGAATGAGATGGGATGCTTAAAGGTGGAGTTTGAACGTGCACAAAGAACAGCCCACGCTACAGAACAGTTCTGTTAAAAAATAAAACAAATCACCAGCTAATAGGTTGTTTAATGTATCAGTCTATTTGGGTATTGAATGCTAAGTATTAATGTGTGGTGTGGCAACAGGTCATTTGTTAAGATGTGTAGGTACTGAAGTTATTTGTTGAACCTGTTGTGCCTAGCTTAGATTTAAGCTAGGCACAACGTCAATGTTGAAAACATGCACATTTTTAGATGTAGATATAGAATAACAGTGTTGCAATATGTCACACAAAAAAAAACTAAATTTAACACAAAATCGAAATAACATATGAACATATAAATAATTTATACTCACACAAGGATTTCACACATAACATTAAGTATATGAATTTTATAATACTGTATTATAGCTTATAAGTAATATTTCTTTGCAACGTAGCTAATTTGCAACACGCAAAAAGGAACTACAACAAACATAATACCTAGATATTTTATGAATATTACCTACTTCCATAAAGTAGAAACACTACTTCAAAACTATCCGAAAATAAAGTACGAACATGTATGCAGTGAAAAATGATGAGCAAGCTAAGAGAAGTGGTTTTATTTAAGTTTACAGTGCGCGGGCGACGACAGCGCTAACGACACGGTCTTCCTGCAAGCATTTGTCTGTCAGCGGCCACTCGTGCGCCGGATGCATCGTCAGAAAAACGGCTTTGTACTAACTCTGCCAGTTGTTGGAAAGTAAGGACATTCAAACGTTTCTAACAATTTTTGGAAATAAACGAAGGATAAATTAGAAGGAATGAAGTTTTGAATAAATACATGTATAAGCTGGTAAAAGTCGATCGTGAAAAACGTTTGGCGGACAAAGTGTCCCCATATCGCATCTTCCTTTTTTAAGGTCTTACAATTATGGAGGTTGAGCTTCTCTCTATATCAGAAAGACTATATAGGTAGGTACCATTATATTTTCCGTATCATCATCATAATCTTCTCACACGGAAAAGGTTTGAGCGTTAATCACCACGCTTGCTCTTGCTTATATTTAGAAATTAGGAATAAGTCCAGGTTTCCTCACGATGTTTTCCTTCAGCCTTAACCATTTGTCACTGGTGTCTAAATAATCATAGAAAATACATCTTACCCGAGAAAAGTCACACTGTTACTTAGCAGATTTCGAACCCTCATGCATTAGAGCTCCGAGCCACGACTTCCGTGAATGATCTGCAATCATAGTCACCATAGTGTAACAAAACTTTCTCTGTAAACACGAAACAGTAGCGTTTGTTTACTGGAAGAGATCGTAAACGACGCGCGAGTGCGCGGCGTGCAGCTAATTTTGTTTTCTAAACAGCCTCTTCAAAAGAATATTAATTCTGGGAAATTATAATTGAGTTAAGCCACTATTCAGCGAACATCAGCATAATATAAGGAATTTTAATTATTTACCTACATAATTATACAGTTGTATTTTATGTGAGATCTTAAAAATTAGGTTTGTTTAGGTATCTTCATGTTCTCTCTTTTTGTAACTTTTATTGTACAGTCGGTATCTAATATCACTTTTTTACAGTAGGTGCCTACTGAAAAGGCAGCTTTCGGCAACAGGCTTCACTTTGAAAACAAACTAGGTACATAACATTACTTCCAGTGATTAGTGATTATTAAAGAGAACTTAACTGATTATTCCAAATTAAAAATTAAAGCTATTTGTTGGCGATTTTAGACACATTTTTTTATTTATAATATTTAGATATGCTAGGTGATTAAAGCTATTTTGTCATGAATAACAACGCGTCTGCTATTTCATTTCATAGTCAGCCAGTCTTAATAGTTAATAATACCTACTCTTAACCGTACTCTTTTGCGACTCTGGAATACCTATTGGAACCCAGGAATCTGTTGTCATGTTCAGACTCTATGTGTACCTATTTGAGTAGACATCTAAATAATTTACTGGTAGGTAATTGTTTTCCTTTTTGTTTTTGAGAGGGTTATCATCCAGTCTTCTCGGCAATTGCGAGTGTTTTACTCGTACTGACTTAAAGACATCCCTTTCCTTCTCATTGTCCTGCTCCATGTTGGGATTCGCGGTACATTATTGCCGGTTAGTTTCAATAAAAGGAATGGCAAAACGCTTTTTTATTTCTCCTTTAAATATGTAAATACCTAATAAGAAGTTCTGGTACAGTACCCATAAATCCGATTTACCAATATATACCTGTTATCATAAAGACACTGAAATTGTGATTGTGTAAGCGAAAGTGGCTTCAAGCGAAAGATTTGTATATTATGCTCTAGAGTCTGAACAATACTACGCCAGTTCAGTAGAACAGGGCACACTCACAAAAAACGAATGAAACAATAATGATATAACTTCGCAACACAAAACGTAACAATTTGACCGATATTCACTCCGTGGTCAAGGTGTTACTATTATTTTTATCATCGCAAAATATAGAGGGATGTCGTAAAACTATCGTCGCGGTTCAGGTGAACGGCCGCACGCATGCGCATCGTTCACAAGATGGCTCCCATATATCCGTCATCGGGGTGCCTGATGCGCGCCAAAATAAAATTATTGGAAATTTGACAGAGATGAGCGCGCGCACTTTACGATCGACGCTAGACGGGGTTTATGAGAAAAGATGTGATGCCGATGACGCATGTAATTGGTCCTTGGGTATTTCTGGACGTTAAAGTATTTTTATTAATTTCTGAGGGCACTAGCCATGGAAATTAGTACTTTATACCTTGTTTATACTTTGTACCTACCTAAATTTATACTGCTTGTTCTCTTATTTTCATGATCAGAGAAAGTCCAGCTTTTCTTCTTTTCCTAATTCTCTCAGAACATGCGTAGACGAAAGAGTGCTTATAATTGACTTACTTAAGTTCCTATGTCCCCTAGGTGGGGCAAAGGGCTTCCACAGTATTTTTCCATTGGGATCAATCTTGGACTATGTGCTTAATTTCGGACCAGTATTTCCGCCGCAACTGTGCGCCGCCACGTTTGCTTAGGACGGCCAACTTTTCGCCTGCCTTGTGGTGTCCACTCTAGAGCTTGTCTCGGTATGTGTGTGGGACTTCTCCTGAGAGTGTGCCCTATCCGTGACCGCTTTCGGCGTGTAATTTGCTTGTCTATTGGGATTTCCCGGCAAGCCTACCACAAGCGTTCGTTTGAGATCTTCTCTGGCCAGAAAATGCCAAGTATTTGCCGAAGGCAACGGTTGACGAAGACCTGGATTGATTGAGTGATATCCCTTGTTACCTTCCACGTTTCGCACCCATAGAGTAAGACGGAGTTGACGTTGGATCGGAAGATTTTAAGCTTGACTGTACGAGTTCTTTGATCGCCATATGGATGAAGTTGTGCAAAGGTCGCTCGTGCCTTGGCCACTCTAGCGGCAGAGTCCTCTTCCGCTCCTCCCTCCTTCGACAGAAAACTTCCCAAGTAAGCAACTGTTGTTCACGCTGGATTTGCTCCACATCAAAAGTGAGGGACTGTTGATTTTTCCCGGTGCGCATCTCTGGGGTTGAGTTGATTTTAAGGCCAACCTTTTCCGCCTCTAGCTGAAGGACGTCCATTTTGGCTTGCATATCAGCGTGTCTATGGCTAAGCAGACACAGATCATCAACAAAGTCAAGGTCATCCAGTTGATTGTACAAACCCCATTCTATACCGCGTCTCTTGCCGTCGTTTATAAATAATGAACATAATTAATAAACAATGATTGTATACAGTATCTTTTGTAGAAATGTAGTAGGGGACCTTATTTAATCTAAGTAGGTACCTACCTGGGTAGCTGTTAGCAATTTTTTATCATTCTCATATTAAACCTACATAGTACCGGACCGAATGATTTTTTCCAACTGAAAAAAGAAGAGTACCTAGGTACGTACTTTATAGGTACTATATACTACCTACTATACATTTTATTTTTATTTTTGTTATCCAACCTATATACCTACCAGTATAAATAAATTGTAAAAATTGTTTAAATATGAATTAACGGCGGCGAGAGCGGCCGAGAGCCCGCGCGCGCGGTATTAGATAAAATGAAATGCATTACACATCGATTTTTGAATATCGATTCAATAGCTAATTTCGGATGTGCTTTCCTAAACAAGTGGCCACGTAGGTGGTAGATATTATAATTCACACTGTTACTTTCAAAACCATCAACATCAGCAGCAGTTATCACGCTGAAGATCGGTGTATGAAGTTTCCTAGCCCTAGGTACTTTTTTATGGGATAGGTCACCAAATGAACAGACGGATTAAGTACTTGATGGTAAGCAATCGGCACCGGGGATCGGGGATAAGGGTTTCGATGGGCGGAAGGAGGGGATACGGCCTCCGGTAAAATCACTCACACGGTGAAACACAACGGTGTGGTTGCTTCACGCCAGTTTTATGTGATGCCGTGGTTTCACTCCGGTCGAGCCGAAGCTTGACTCTCCCACACTTATACGCAGTCAGTCACTAGTAAAGATTAAGTACCTACGGTTTTCTATTTCCTAGTGTGGGTTGATCTTATTGCCCACACTAGGAAATGTGGGTTGATGTTAATAATTGGTATCAATTATCTCAAGTTATTTTCCAGTTTAAATCTATCTATCTATCATAGATAACATAATCGAGTAAACGCACAAAAATAACAAAATAAATGGAACCAAAGAAGTTTTAATCGCAAAGATGAACTACAAATTTGAAAACAGCACACCTGCACGGGTCTGCGGACGGCGAGTAGAGTTACTCGCCAGAATAAGACCCGAGCGCACGGCGCGTAGCGTAGCGGCCGCGTGCGCCTCAATGAACCCATAGACCACCACTGACGGAGCCCTACAGGGCTGATGTTCAGCCGGAGTTGCGGGGCAAGCACAATGCGGGATCGCAGCCTCGGCCCAGATCAGAAGAAAAGGGAGTTTTTAGTTTGCAAAAGTCTGACACTCCGTCCTACCTGACCCTGGGCGGGAGAGGTCATTTGATGATTTTACCAAAAAGAAACACCTGTTTCATTCTGCACACGTCCTACCTCTCCCGATTGTACTTTTCAATGGTAACAACCAAGCTTTCGGTGCACTAAAGACTTAAACGTAGATATTTTAAATATCTACGTAGATATTTTAAATATCTACGTTTACTTAGGTACCGTTATTATTACTTTATTACAACATCTTAAACGTCATCGAATTAAACTCCTTTCAATGGTCTTGATGTCCAGTCCGTGTTTCAATGGTCACAAGGCAGCGTTTGATGATGCAGCACATGCATTTTACGAAACTAAGAAACTTAGCAGGATAATATTACAACGGTAATTTCATTGGTAAAGTCTTATTATTTTACAAAACTTTTACAAAAAGTTAACATTTATTCAATACCAACTATTAACGACATCTTGTAGAATACTCTGTAGTTTGACATCCAAGTAGAGTAGAGTAGACAGCTCGATCACGTTGACTAGTCATTATTGACATCTAGCTTCACATGTTTGTACTAGTAAATACACAAATCCTTTATTAGGTAATTTTATTATTTAAATATAAAAAAAACTATTTAACTGTATTGTACCATTTACTTTATCAGTTATTTAATTTTATTTTTGATTCATTATTTTGTCAACGCACACTACAGACGAAAACAAACATTTATTTTTTACGCATGGCAACAAAACTTGTTTTCGCGAGAAAACTTGTGATAGCATCGTGAATCTTATTTTGATTACAAAATTGGCATGAAATCCGATAATAAGCCGAAAAACAGTGTATATTTAGTGCAAAGTTATAGTGTTTGATGTGGCGTATTAAATATCCGCCTTCCAAGTGGAGCTGTTAAAGAAATTGCTTGCCATGGCGGGCCCGTCCGACGGCGATCCCGACGGATGGGTCGAGTTCTGCGAGCGTCAGGCCAAAGCCGCCGCTCAGGACTTCGCCAAGGCTTGCTTGCAGTATGTACAAACCGGTGCCGGCGACCCTGCAACACGGCCGCAAGCTCCGCACAAGGAGCTGCTGAAAAAATTTGTAGAATGTTTCTCGGAACAGTTTGAATATGAAATTGGGAAGTTGAAAGCTTTGCATAAGCTCCCTAACGGCACACATACGGGACACGATGAGAGTGACTATTCGGAGGACACAGACTCGCCTAAAACGCAACATAAACCTTTTTTCCGAAGGTTATCTTTCAAAGGTCTGAGACGCGGAAAGGGGTTGTTCCACAAGCAACACTCGGACGAGGTGGAGCTCTCATCACATTTGAACAAACACAACAAGACTAAATTAGCTAAAATAGTTGTAGAATGTAGGAAGGAAGGGCTGGTAAATTATTTAACTCCGGAGAGTCTGGAACAGCCCGGTGGCCCACAGAAGTGGGAGAGGTGCAGGCTAGCTTTGGTCAAGACGGTAGGGGGCTACATGCTGGAGTTTTACTCTCCTCCTAAGGCACAGAAACCTCGCAGTGGGGTATTTTGTTTCCTTATTTCTGAGGCCCGTGAAACCACTGCGTTAGAGATGCCTGATCACGAAAATACCTTTGTATTGAAGGTAGAGTATTATTTTATCCAATTATCCATGCAACAAGTTTTTCTGTTAGGGAATAACTTGTTATTATGTAGTAAAACGACTTGTGATGTTTATTAATTCATTTCTTGTTTAATTTATTTAATATTAATAATTAATAACTTGACTTGTCTGCCTTTATTATTTTCTCATACAGTATATTGGGCAGCAATAACTAGTTGGACTAGTTGTATATTACCATAATACCATACTTATTATAATGTATCTGGTAGAATTATTTCCTCCTTATTGTGAACTTGATAAAATAAGATTATTAGATCATGATCAATTGTTACTTGAGTGCTCTCAGCTGTGAATTTTCCATTATAACATTTTCTTATATTATCTCTTTCCTATACATTTTATGTTATAACATAATGTTGCATACATTATGTACAGTACGGCCGCCATATCTTGGCGAGTCTGAAGTTAGCCGTTTGTCTGCGCAATGGATCTTTTAGGAACAAAATTGTTTACTGCGCAGCTAATAGGCTAACTTCAGACTCGCCAAGATACCTCGGCGGAGTTGTAGTATGTCTATAGTATACTCTTACTAAACTTCAAACTAATCTGTGAACAATTGCAGGCGGACAATAACATGGAATATGTAATTGAGGCAGCTGATGTAGATGATATGAAATCATGGTTGGCAACTATCAAGTACTGTATGAGAGCGCCTCCGACCACCCAGCCACCACCAGATGCGCTACCAGGCATGCCAGAGCCTGCGCCCCCAGACCTGCCACCAAGGAGAGACCTACCAACCAGCACTAGCAACATTGACTTAGCTACTGATACTCCTGAAGAGGCTGAATTAGGTAAAAAATTAAGGTTGTCTAAATAAAAAACACTTGTCAGATATCTACCTAGATGAGATAAAGTATCTTAATATTTACTCCTGTTTATTGAAACTATTACATTGAAATGTAATGGAATTTGTCAAAAAGCACCACCTCAACACTATGCAGCCACAAACAGGGTGTATGATGATTTCAAATAAATCTAAGAGATTTAATATAATATAACCACTTATCAGGATCAAACACACTACTTTGTGGTGATTGGGTGTTGCTACTCTATGCAGTCATCATAAATAGCAACTTGCATCTCATATACACATATTATTATGCTTTCTGATCGTAATCATTGTGCACTTACTACAACACTTACATAGTTAACTTAGAAACTACACCAAACATATAAAGATTTCGCGATATTATGTTTTTCACACATAGCCGCTCTATTTGTTATAAATTACATTTTCTCCTGTGTTGCGGGTGCGTTTACAAACATAAAATTTCCCACGACAGGTTCGATAGCAGAGGAAGCTTGTGAGGCGTCGTCCCGGATCTCCCTGGCTGAGTGGCCGTGGTTCCACGGCACGTTGGCCCGCGCGGCGGCCGCCGCCTGCGTGCTGGCCGGCGGCGCCAGCGGACACGGCTGCTACCTCGTGCGGCAAAGCGAGACCCGCCGCGGGGAATATGTGCTCACTTTCAACTTCCAGGTCAGTTATCTTGAAAAACACAAGCCCCTAAAACCCTAACCAAAAAATTACTAAAACTAAGTACTAGCTTCATGTAGTGCCAACAAGGGCTAAATTGATTACAATTAACACTTTTTTTAAATAATACTCTGATCTAGTATTGAACATTAGATTCCATCCCAGTTATAGTTCCCACTCAAGGATATGCTATGCGTCTTGTTAGAGTATTTCAATAATCTTGATATGGTTTGACAGGGTCGCGCAAAACACCTCCGCATGACTCTGAGCGAGACGGGTCAGTGTCGCGTGCAGCACCTGTGGTTCCCCAACGTGCACGACATGCTGGAACACTTCCGCGCGCACCCCATCCCGCTGGAGTCGGGCGGCGCGGCCGACGTCACGCTCACCGAGTACGTCGTCTGCCAGGACGGGAACCGACAACAAGTGAGCCATGCACAGATGGTTTCATAAGGCACGGTTACACGTACCTGCATCGAATACAACGCACACAGCGCTAATGTTTGCTGGAACTATTCAAGTTATGCGCACGTGTAACCGAACCTTTACTGCCTTTAGGAATAATGATTCTCGATTGTTTTCATTCAAAAAAAAACATTTAAGCTTAAATATCGAAAGTTGGCAGTTATTATATTTACCAGTGAATGTAAATATTTATTCCTAATTAATGTTGTTGATATTTGCTTACTTGTATTTTTTGTAACTTGAACTGTGATGCTCAATGTTATTTGTAAACAGTCGAGAATCGTTCATAAATCGATTCATTGATCAATTTGGATCAACAACAATCGCACTTTTTATGACTTGCATATCTTCTGTTTTATAAAGAGGCATATTGACCCACCGAACCTTACGAAGCTTTAACTCCAGACAAAGAACAATAATAAGGTTCACAAGCCAATCATATAATGTAATTATATTTGGCGTTAACTATGCAACAAACCTTAAACTATTAGAAAATGAGACGGTTTTGTGTACTAAAGCTCCATGGACTTAAGGTTTAGAATGCATTGATTTATGAAACTTTTGAGGCTCAATAATGCTCTATGGCCAAGCAGAAGCTTAATGCCATAAGTACCCAGTAGCAGGTATATTGTTACGCCATGCTAATTGCGAAGCATGAAGTTATATTTGTGCATAGAAATGTTTTTTGTATGTTTCGCCTTCAAGTAGCGTTTGTTCATATTTTGTTGCTATTGATGTTGTTAGTATGTAGCTTGTAGTTATATTTGCTCAGCATTGTTTGTTCTCATACTCGTTTACGGCCCACGACTTACAAAGAAAATTGGTCCGATCGATACTGATCTATTTTCGTCCCTATCTACAGACTAAATAAAGATCATAGTGATTTTTTGTGCCAATAAATTAATAAAATTGAATGTTAAATTTTATTCGTATGGCCCTTTTTCTAGTGAAGGTGTAGGCGTAAACGTATCACTTGTACGCATTAGAAAACAATATTAAAAATAGATTCTAATCTGATAAACAGTTCGCCGATCTTTGCCAATACATACGTGAACATGCTTTAATTTAAGATGGCTACGTCTTATAGCTTTAATAAAGTAGCACTTGTGTTATACATTTGGCCTCCTTGAGGTTTTTGAACATGATTATAGCAAACAATTTTTTTAGTTATTCTTGTATGAAGCTATCGCGATTCCTGTACGTGCTATATATTTATTGATGACAGTAAATGTAAATTTATTTATGTCATATTTAAAAATTAAGATATTAATACATTAGGTATAAAGTTAAGTGCCTATATAAATAGGAGTCAAGGAATCACAATGTTCTATAAAGTAACCGCATTTATATTTAGTTGCTACGTTTTGTATACAATGTAGTGGAAAACGAGTTCTTTTGCATTTTTTTATTTCGTTACGAAGCTAACATTATAAGACAGTTATAAAATGTAGGTATCTAATAGTTAGTATACCCGAGTTATTGGGGTTGAAAGGAATAGTTTGGCTCTAGCAAAAATAGTCCCGTCCATCCCTTACTTTTGATGTCTTGACAATATATTACAATAAAGAGAGAATAGAAGCTTTTCAACTGCCATTTCACACAAAATAAGTATAGTACTGAATGTTCCTATTATTGTAGTAACGTATTTCAATAAAGAATAATGTCTCGCGCCAAAATATTCCTTGTTTGTTGTAATATTAATTTATCACCATACATAACTCGAGTTTGATAAACAAATGGACTGTTAATATAGTGTACTAACAATGAAACTTAGAAATATAATTTATATTGTTTATAATTTGTACAAAATCATGTTCTTCCGAGCTTTAATTATAATTTCTTGGTTGTAAATTTTTATTATTAAACTTTATTCTATGGAATGGCTTTGTTTTTTATTTTGCTGTGTTATTTTTTCTTCGTTTTTTTTTGTTGTCTGTGTGTTGTGTTGCAAGCCTATTTATGGTAAGTTTGTTTTTTATAATATTTATGCTTTTATATACAGCTTGTGATTTGTATTCTTACGTGTAAATATTTTAATTACAGCGTAGTAAATGTAGTGCTTTAAAACTAATAACTAGCTATGAATGCAAGTTGACGATAAACAAATATAACTATCGTAAAAGTGCCGAAGTGCCCCTTTCCGAATGTTTGTCACTACAAGACATTGTGAACAAATCGAGATGATTTAATTAAAAACCAATTGACAATCAAACTTGAACTTTGTACTGTACGCAGTTACACTTTAACAGATGTGTTTATTTTTTTAAATACTTTTAAATTGTACCGTAAGTTATAAAGCTGCATATGCACAAAATTCTGATTACCAGGCTTAAAAAAGTCTTCTTCGTCATTTTTTTTTTCGAAAAAGCTTCTTGTTGCCATGTCAATTAAATACATCCGATATTTATTTCGCAGTTGGACGTGACCCACGGCAGCGACGTACGCATGCGCCGGGCGGAACTGGAAGCTCTGCTGGTTGCTAGCGGGGCTCACCACGACATCCGAGCCGTCGACAACCAGTACACCTTCGTGTAACCATCGCCATACTGTGGAGCGACCAGCGGACTGCTCCAAACTATACACAGAGCGCTCTGCTGCAAGGAAAATGGTACTGTACCTACATTTGTTTAGAGTTGGTTATTGTACGTGTCTAACACTATTCCATCGGGAATCTTAGACTTGTTCTAAGCTGACCTGTTAATTATACCTAAGTAGATGTTCTGTATGGTGAGTGGTGGATTGGAACTTCCTTAGTACTGTCTACCACATACAGAAATTCTTAGAGGCCAGCTTAGAATAAAATGTTAGTATTCCCATCATACGTAGGTACGTTCGATACAAATCACACCATTTTTGCAACCTTACGATCTTTGAATAAGATTCAAAATTGGTCAATTCGAATGTACTTACGTCAATTTGCAGTTAAGTAGGTACAGAAGAGACTGATGGACTTAGATTGAAGAGTTGTTTAATAAAGGAACATTTTGGTTTGTGTGACGAGTGTTGTTGACATTAACGAGCAGTTTACTTGTAGGTAGGTAGTCGTTGTTTACATCGGGATATCCCTTAACAACAAACATGTATTTAAAATCAATTCGGTGTGTTATGTCTAGATTGGCTGTCGCAAACACACAATAACGACTAAATTATGCTGTTGTGTCTAAAAAATACGTTCAAACACACACTAAAAGTCATTTATTCAATTTGTGTGTCGCCAGTAGTGTTGTGTGTTTTTCATAGGCTTCGACAGTCCATCTAGATTGTTATAATAATTACTACACATGTAAACTAGGAAGGGAAAATCCTAAAATGTATGTCTACTATATCGAACATACTATTTTCTACCTTATTTGTATGTAATTAAGGTTTACGTAAGCACAAAGTGAAATCGGGTATTTAGAATGAATGAAATGAAATGCTGGATGGGTTTCCTCCACAGTATAGATAAAAACATTTAATTATTATTACTGAATGTACTGCTGTAGTCATTTAGTTTGAATATAACATAAAAAGCTAGTCGATAATTTCGACTGCAAATGTAATTTGTGTAACTTTGCAGCTTTTAGTAAAATGTAGCTTATTTTTTTAGGAGTAAGGTCGAGACTCCTTTTATTCAGATCGTACAGGCCCGGATGTTATACCTTCCAAAAGGGATACATAAAGTCGACTGACAAAGTAACAATTAATAATGAGTGAAAGAGATAGAAAACATAAATAAGGTTTTTTCTTTCCGTTAGCGGTAAAACTGTAAGGGCTCTACTAATGCCGTGTCCTCAGGGAAGTGATCAGCGGCGGCGACCTCTCGCGCCCGGCCTTAGTCGAGGCCATGGTGCGGAGTGAGAGGAACTGGGACGCCGTCTCCTCCTTTTGTGAAGCAGTCATGCTCGCAAAGAGAGAGGCGGCCCGCGTGAGGGAACAATCCTCCTCCTCACGCCCCAGCAGTCGCAACTGGCGACACTACGGGCGTCGGGGATCAAAGGACGATCTCCGGCCACCGTAAGCACGGGCCTGCGGTCGGCGAGTAAGGGTAGCTCGCCGCCCCACCAGAACCAGGCCCGAGCGTACGGCGCGTAGCGTTCCGCGTGCGCCTCAAAGAGCCATTAGACCACCACAGACGGGGCTCTAAGGGCTGATGTTCAGCCGGGGTTGCGGGGTAAGCGCAATGAGGTACCGCGACCTCGGCACAGAGCAGGAGAAGGAACAGGGGGGTTTTTAGTCAGTAAGAGTCTGACACTCCCTCCTGCCCGGCCCTGGGCGGGAGAAGTCATTTGATGACACAAAAAAAAGGGCTCTACTAATGGAGAATGTACCCACCATTTTTAAATTTATTGTAGTAGGTAAGGTATAAGAACCGATCACCTAACACAATCTGAATATTCCGCAATTATTTATTTGTGCAATAGGTTTACTCTATTTATTCTAGTACTTGTAGTGTTAATTTATTGGTATTTGATAAGGCTTAGCCAAATCTATGTTATTAAATGTACTTAATGTTTTAGATTGTAAGTAACGTTTTATGTATCTTACACTGCCAAAGTGCCCCGGTTACTAGACGAATTATTTTCAATTTGTTATCAATCCTCCTTGCAATGCTTTAAATGTGTCAAAATTATATACTTAAACATGTTTGGAATTTGTTTAACAACATTTTCGAAATATTATTAAACTCATTCGACGAGTATGTTAACTTTTTAATTATATAAATTCAAAATGTCCAACTCTTTAGTTAAATACAGGTAGGTCACGTCTTTACTTTTCTGTTTATATTGGTATAAATTAAAATCAACATAGCTGTTTGCTCGAATTACGCGTAATGACAAATAAACTCACATTCGTATGCATAGACTGTTGACTGACTCCGACAATGATTATCTGATTGTATAAATTAATGGTAAAATAGAAACAGACAAGTGTTTACCCATCTCGATATAAGATTAAGCAGATTTAGTAAAACCTATGAGGCTTTAATACTAAACCAAGAATGTATACAGGGGGTAGTCTGATTGTAATAGTTATACATAATGTAACTAGGCGGAATATTTGTTCTACCTTCACTTGTCAAGTGTAATATCTGTCATTTAGTGTTTATGTAGTTAGGTAGCTAGGTATTTAAGGGAAACATATCGCTTTCCTTCATCAAAAATGAGTTTTTATGCCACGAGAGGCACTTAAGTTGAAAAATGTCAACAAGAATATTGGCTAATGCTAAATTATGAGGACTTAGCACCTCACAAATGAGTGCTACATTAATGGGTGGATAAAATCTCGCAACATTCATACATTCAACATACATTTTGAAACGTTTATCGTATTCATTAATTGTCATCATATTAAAGTTGGCTCTGAGATTCGAGTAATTATCCACCCTATACATGTTACTGGTCATATTGAAATAAAAACTAGGTACTATGTAAGTAATTATAATTTATCAATTAGGATTTAATGTGTATCAAGAACTATTGTAACAGAAAAAGAAACCAATGCAATCAAAGAATTGCTAGATGTAAACATTTATATGAATGTTAATGTTAATCTATCTTTTAATTTACAACTTATTTTTTCGGAAGATGTTTAATTTTCTCAGTATTAGGTTTGGTTTTCACCAGCCTCTGTAGCAACCATGTATGTTTTTGACATCAGGCACACCTAATTGTTGAGCTTTGGTGGCGCATACCCTTAAAATCTTGCAGACTCTACTCTTAGTAATTTTATTGCATAGCTCCCTTTACAAAGGTTAGGTTGTAAATTGAAAGACTAATCATATAAGATTGTAGCAAAGATAAACATAATACAAAAATACGTATTATGTATTTAAAAAATTGAAACTGAAGTGAACGAACGATTTTGATCAATTAAATTCATGTGAAGGATTGTTAAATGAATAACATTGTATGTAAAATTAATTGTTGTTGGAATTGATAACAAGATATAAAAAATAATATTAATACATTAACAAAAAAAAATATAACAAAAATATAACATATTTGTTGGTTTTTGAAAACTGTTCACGCTAAATGAAATTTATAACGGGAATTATGTATGTTTGTAAATGTAAGTAGGCTTAATTTGTATGTGAAAAGCCAAGCGAAGTCAAGTTATGTACTCATTAACCGTTCAGTCAGTGTAAACTTAACAAACATTCCTGTAAGTTGTATGTCATTTTTGGAGAACGAAATATAGTCATATATTTTGCAAAAATATACTTGTTTATTGTCTCGTCTGACGAGTTGGTACGTGGCTACTAATGAGGATTAATTGGTTTCGCAAAGAAGAAGAAGAATTTTGTACATATTTCTTATTGGTGGGCACAGAGTTTAAGGACACGAAGTGACAATCTAATAACAAAGATCAGAATCAGGTTATTACTTACTTTTCATGATGTTTGACTTGAAAGTTTCAATGAAAATAGCCGAGTACATTGCCTGTGACCAATGTGGCTAATGGCAGAAATTAATACACTACTTATTACTAATATCAAAATTGAATCTCAATAATGAAATTGAATTGAAATACTAAATAATTTGGGTCTGTCTATCCTCTCACAGGTAATCTGGCTCTGTCTATCCTCAGAAAAATAGTTTTCATTTTATATAACTGCTTTATTTTCGTATAAAAATATTCTTATAAAGTACATCAATCGTCGAGTAACGGTACTATGTAAAACTCTGAAAACATCTGCCGCTGGTCTTCCTTCTCCAGCTTTAACTGCAGCAGCATGAGGCCATTGGAGCTACACCTTAGCACTACCTGTAATTAACATACAAACCATTTATATAGAAACTAGGAGCTAACTGAAGAACTGTTAGGGGCTTGCCAAATATTCTTATCCTTATATTTCTCTACTACTCGCTAGCTAAGCCCGTCGTCTGTAGGTAATCGTGCCATGTTTTAACGAACATGGTTCATAAAATGAGTGGTAAATTGTAACCACATTGAATACATTTCACATTTCTACTACCACTTTAATTTTAATACCTTTAACGTTTCAATTGCGGATCTGTTATATGAAAAAGTAATAATTTTGTTCAGTTTATTCACGTACCTAAGTAATTTTTTACAATAAATCACGATAGTTATCAATTTAATGTTGGTAATGTTGGTGAAATTTCAACATCATCAGCCTATAAATGCTCACTGATGATCAAAGGCCTCTTCTCACATAAAGATGGATTGAACTTTAATCACTGAGCTTGCTTATTGATGCCACGCGATGTTCCCGCACGATTTTCGTCAGATATCGATATCGGTAATGTATAAATAAACTTAGTTACAAACAAACCTTGGTAGATATAGCTAGTGCCTTCATAATGGTCCTTATATGATGCAGCTGGTACCTCAAAGTGACAGGAGCTTCGCAACTAAAGCTTTGCACCATATCTGATGACTTGGGCATGTCAATGCAAGACCTGTCCTGCAAGATAAACAAACATTCATATATTACCTCGTGCTTATGTCCTAGGCGGGAGTACAAAAACATATTTTTAAATTAAGAAGAAAATGTTTTCTCCTATCATACTCTTTGGAGGTTGATTTTTTCTGTAGATGGCCAGTTACAGTTTTTGAAGTTCCTTTTTTTTCTCTAAGTATAAGAATAATAATAATAAGTTGATTCATGGGCAGCTATTGTTTTTTTGTTTTGAGTTTTTTCATGTTAGTTTACCTGCATGCCATATGTAACAATGCTGACATTTGGATGTTCAGGAGACAGGTTCAGTTCAAACACTTCACAAGATCGCTCTAAGTCTGCCAGCAAGCCTAGAAATGCAGGAGCCTTCAGCACCAACTTGGCAACTTCTTCCGCATCCTCATCTCGAAGTTCTAATAAAGAATCTGCAGTCTGTGTTGCTATCTCACAGTCTGTCATCACATTGTTCACTGACTGGGGTTGTAGCCTAAAAAATAGATTTAAAACTTCACATCAATTCAACTAAAGTATAGAAATTGTATTGTTCAGAAAAAATATCACCTACACTAGAAGAAGAGGTGAACCTTCACCTCTGTAATACATCTTCAAGCTGGACTCCTCACCCGAGCCAAATATATTCAAACATTCTGCCAGTACAGCTATGCTGATCTGAAACATAGTACATCAGTTTTATTAATTCTATTATTCTTCTTTAAATGCTTTCTTTTCTTATACATAGTCTCACACCTTTTTTATCAAGTAATGTTGCCCTCTGTCTCTATGATTTTCTCCTGTGTTGCGGGTATGTTTACAAACATACACACTCACAAACACCAGAAACAACATTTTGTGGATTACACAAATAGTCATACCACGCAGCTGGTTGCCTAGCCACCATATCCATCATTTTATCTCCTGTGTTGTAAACTTGCAAATGCATTTATAAACACATACAAATCAGACCCAGAAGAATAATTTTATCATCACCAATAAAATAAATTATTTATCATATTTTAGGACCACCTATAAATACAAGTGACTACCTTGAACATAACATCCACATCATCTCGCACATGGTACTCAGTAAAATTATCTGAAGGTACATAGGCTGAAGCTTGCACACACTTGCCCTCCTCCACAGTCAGCTTCAAGCCCTCTGGTAGAGCACAAAACACTGCAGTCTGAAAGAAATAATGTAGACCAATTCAGTGTATTATTAAGCAGACTTGAAGGAACAAAAGAATATAACTGCAATCTGAGACATTGATATAGATTACAATTATGATATATTTCAGCCAATGCCAATTGTTAGTGACAGCACAGAAGATTATCCTTCTCGAAATGACACATATTGTAGGGTTTGTGACATGTTTCAACTGCCAGGAACTAACTATAATATATATTGTTTTTTTATATTAAAAACTTAAATTTTAATGTACCTAGTATAAATTATTCTGTGAAATAGAATTAAAATATGTACCTCTTGAAACTGAATAGCCTTCAATAAACTACACAGGGTTTTCCCAGAATCCATAGATGCTGTGAAATAGTACTGTGAAGTTCCCTCATCCATCATTCTCGTCAATGACATACATGGAGCGTAACAACATCAAATATTGATCCTGTGTCACTTCATGCTCAGTTATCCTGCCAAGTATTTGTGTAATTCTCCCTGCTAATACGTGTTTGCACAAAATTTGCGCTTTACGTTCCAAAACTTGATGTTTAAACGATTGGCAAGGGCAATAATTAATACGTGGAAAGATGCGGTAGCACCGGTCGTTTTTACCCTTGATTTCTATCAAAGTTCTTGTTTTGTTTACTGTTGTGTAAGCTACAAATACAGGATACTTTTCCAAGATATCTAATGCTCTCTCGAGCACTGTTCCAAATACTGAATGAAGTGACAATAAGTCTTCATCTAAAACTGTGAAAAATATAAATTAATTACTTAGTTAATGTAAAAAATACAACAACAACAATATTACTTAACCATACTAACGTTGTTTGTCCTCACAATTGTTTACACGTTTTTCTATCTGGTCCAGTAGGTATTCAGCGACTGATGGTATTTTGGACGGTGTAGAATTGTTCATTCTTTGCTTACTTAGGCTAATATTTAATATTTTATTGAATTATTCCATAAAACTATTCAACTAATTCTACTATAGCCAAATCGAATTGGCGCCTACATTTCAAATCCTCAAATATTATTCAAATGTCATGTATTGTGTCAATGTCCATGTCATTGGTTATGGTTTGCATTTTACGCTGTTTTTTACTCTACACAGTATGTTGGCTCGCACAAATTAATTGTAATTTATTAATTAAATAATAGTAGAGATTGAAAAATTGCAAATGTTTACCATTCCATGTAAATTCTTCAAATAACTTTTATCTAAGAATCATGTCTCCAGTTACAAGGTTCTGTTTCACCACTTTTTACTTCAGTGTAAATAAGAACGTACTAAAATTATCTGTTCTGTCAGCAGTGTCAAATTGTCAATGTCTTTTGTCTTATGTCATTTGTCAGTTTAGGGAAATCTATGAAAATCGTGAAAATCTCTTTTAAGAGAGTGTTATTTTTTATCATTTTGGTGTATTTATAATGGGATTGCTGAAGATTTAACCGCAGAAATAAACATTATAACAAAAATATTTTTTGTTCGGATTTCCTACAGGTTTGTAAAGAGGGATAACAATTTTCATATAGTAATAATTAATATTCTACTTGAAATAACAACAGCGGGGTGCGGTTTCAGGTGGCTTATGTGGAGCTATGCCGGAGCATTTGGAACTTCAACACCTAGTGGACTTGTCGGCGGGAAGCGGCGACGAGACACTACCAAATCTACTTGAGAACAAGAGACCGTTAATAAAAAGATGCCCGTATCTTGGCCTGATACTGGCGACGTTATCGTCGTTGTTCTTCTCCCTATGCTCCGTCATCGTTAAGAGCCTCGTCAACATCGACCCTATGCAACTCGCCATGTTCCGATTTATTGGAGTACTTCTTCCAACTATACCTATAGTCATATACACAGAACAGCCTGTGTTTCCTGAGGGAAAGCGCATCCTCCTTCTATTGCGGTCCATTGTAGGCACAGTAGGCTTAATGTTAAGTTTTTATGCTTTCCGCAACATGCCACTAGCAGATGCTTCTGTAATAGTATTTTCAGTGCCAGTTTTTGTTGCATTGTTTGCTCGAGTTTTCTTGAAAGAACCTTGTGGTATTTGGAACACAATATCCATTATATTAACTCTTATTGGAGTGATATTAATTACTCATCCACCATTTTTGTTTGGTGATGATCCAGGTGCAGAGCATAACCAGAATTACAATAGCTTACGAGGAGCTGTGGCTGCCTTTATTTCTACAATATTTGGGGCAAATGCTTATGTTCTGCTTCGAGTGCTCAAAGGGTTGCATTTCTCTGTAATAATGACAAACTTTGGTGCTATTGCTATATTACAAACATTGTTTTACTCATATGTGTTTGGGGTGTTATGTATGCCTATTTGTGGCACGGAGAGATTCCTTGTAGTATGTTTGGCTTTGTTCAGTTATCTGGGGCAGATATTGTTGACAATGTCTTTACAAATGGAACAGGCTGGTCCTGTGGCCATTGCTAGGTCTGCTGATATAGTATTTGCATTTTTGTGGCAAGTCATGTTCTTTAATGAAATTCCAAGCAAGTTTTCTGTTTGTGGAGCCATATTAGTTTTAAGTTCAGTTATGTTAGTTGGTTTGCGTAAGTGGGCCCTTGCTTTGCCTACAGATTCACAACTTAGAAGTAAATTGGGTGCATTAGCTCGGTAAATTGTTTTATTGAATCTCACTTGCAAAATTTGTAATATTACCACATTGTTTATGATTAAGTAATAATGTTTCAGTTGAAAATGGCTCAAAAGCGCTGAAAATTTTTTGTTGTCATTTTTCAAACTTTGCAACTGTTTTGGAACCAAAGATTTGTGATTTTCATTATTAAGTTGTTATTAATTTCTTGGGTCTTGTTGTCCATCTTTAGTTACTAGTCTACAGACCACACAAATACTCTTGTGGGTTTGACCAGGACCAATACCTACAATCAATACATACATTTAGGTCTGATTCCCCTTGGCTCAAGGAATTTGTGTTTCATTCATCTGAATCTCAACATTTTTGTTATAGGTATGTTATCTATTATTTTTTTTTTGAGAGTAACCCAACCAAGCACACTGTATTTTTTTCTTTTGAATCCTTATTAGAAGTGCTGAAGAGTCATTTTACTTCAACACCTTACACAGTCTACAAGAAGTAGAGAGTTTGCTTTAAGTGCTTGTAAGTATGTATAAGAATGGACAGAAACAATAACTATTATAAATTATAATATTTAAGTAAAACCTTTCACCCTAAAAGACTGTTAAGTAAGTCCACTCAAACTTGTGTTGTGTGCGTTGGCCTCTAATTATCACTCTGCCTAGAATTGTGTTCCTCATCGGCTTTAATGTTTTAGTCCAATCATTTATTATGAATATAAATTATTTAAATGTTTATTGTTGTCAGTTAGCTTTATTGAATTACTATTTGCTTAGATATCTATTTGTTATCATGTAATCCTTCTTATTATCGCTAAATGATCTCTAAATGTTTACATTTCACAGTTACATATCACCAAAATTATTTTTTTGTGTTCACCAAAATATCCTTCTTTATATAACCATGTTATAGCAGCCACTTCTCAAATAATTTTATGAAAATCCAGAACTAATATGGTAGTTGTTACATTGTCATCTAGTCTTGTGTAGGTAAATAAGTAGACATTTTAATCTCTATATTTTTGTTTAATAGAAGAAAATCTAATATTTTTATAGAATCAAAAAATTCTTAACTCTAATCATTGCTTTGATTTTAATCACAATTTACAATCGTGTAGGTAGTTAATTATAGAATTATGTTTGGAACTAACTCTTAAGAAGATCTAGTCATTAATATAATAGTTATGGCACAACAATGAAAAATAGTTTGTTATAATAATGTTTAAGTGATCCAAGGAGTGTTTATATCTCTTCAGTAAATAAATAAGCGCAATCAACACATCAGAAGAACCTACCTACTTTACAACATCAATTTTTTATTGTTTTTTATGCCAAAAGCTTGTAATAATAGTTTGTTAAATGTACCTGCATACAGATACTTCAAATATTTATCGGCTAAATTGGTGTTGTTGACTGTACATAATTGATTGGATTGTGATATTTTTACTTCTAGTCATAAAAATACTATGTACACTGCTTAATTTAATAAATATAATGTTCAATATTATACAGTGTTCTGTGCTTTCATTGTCTAACTATTCCCTAACTAAACTACCGTCATTAAATTGGGTAGTTTCCTAGGCCAAAAATAAATTAATTCGACGTAGGTATCTTATCTATTTTTTAAGAAATAAGTAAACTATTTAACGCAAAAAAGTTATGACGTCATAACTCAGTTTTTCATACAAATATAGAAAACAATCGTTTTTGACATTCGGATAAAAGCATTGAATTTGACTAGTTGGAAACTACCGTAATAAAACCATTCTGGTGATAGTTATTGTTGAAACTTGAAAAAAAAAACGTTGCCCCACAAATGCCCGCAGTAAGACTTAAGTGTTGTTCCATGCACTAAGCTAATCTGACCAAACTTATCTAATCATAAAATTATACAAATAAATATTCGAAGTTGGCATTTTATAAACGGATCTACCTCTAAACGATTATTATTGTGGGAGAGCCATGCTTCGGCTCGACGTGATTTATTTTATTTCTTCCTCCCCCAAACCCTAAATCTCCAAATCCCCAATCCCCAAAAGGTCGGCAACGCACTGCTCTGCTGTGCGGCTGTCCATGGGCGGCGCTGATTGCTGACCATCTGGTTATCCGTCTGCTCTTTTGCCAACATATCATATAAAAAAGTTTGTGGTAGGTTCTACTTTCTGCTACTACGAAGCATCACTGCTTAACTTCATTTCGGAGTTGACTAGGTACTTATTCTTTTTGTATTCTGATGTGATATTCAGGCTTAATTTCGTTAAATATATAAACATCATATTGTTTGTCGATCAATCTTAGGCTTAATTTTACATTATTATGTCTTTGAAAGAAGATATTCTGGTGTTTTATATGATGGGTGGCAAACGAGCTGACGGTTATCCGCTCCCCTTTTATTACGTAGGTACTATACATATATACTCTTTGGTTATCCGTCTGTTAGTTTTTCAACAGGTGCCTATGTAGGTAGTAGCAATCGCTAACCCAGAGGAGTTACAAAGGCATGCATGGCCGACTTTTTGGGGATAAGGGTTTCAAAGATTTTGTCATTGGGGTGGAGATAGGCGCATGGGAAGGATTGGTAATGCGTTTTTACGCTGGTGTTCGATGAGGCCTTTGTGTCATTCTGGTTGAGCAGACCCCATTTGTGCCGAAGCTTGGGCCTTGCACACTTCTTTGTTTAAATTTAACCAGAAATAAATAATTTATACCTTGATCTTATACCTTGTATCTATAAAATACATATTAATGTTTTATTTCAAAATTATAACCACGATAGAGAATAATTTTCTTCATCTCGTCTAATTTTTTTCGTCGTGGACTCGTGGTACTGCCTCCATCCAGACATACAGACAAATCTGAGCGTTTTTTCTCAAATGGCAATTTATGGACTTTTCTGTTGCTGTCAGTTATGAGTTTTTGTCATTGTCAGTTGTTGAGTTGTCAGTTCATGGTTGATTGTTTGAGTACCAACTTAACTTTCGAGCTTCTTAATAATAAAAAAATATCTTATTTAACATTTTTGTTCGTATAATTCGTATATCATAAATAGTAACGATGGCAGATCGTCTAACGCAGCTTCAGGACACCATTAACCAGGTAAATAAAGCTTACTTTTGTGTTCAATCTGTTGGTTTATCGTGACGTTTGTATTTACATTGGATTTTATTGTTTTATAGCAAGCTGAGCACTTTTGCAACAGCATAGGTATATTGCAACAGTTCTCTACGCCAAGCAAATTCCCCGGCTTCGATCGTAGTGGGTCACAGACGCCGCAACAGCAACAAAACCAAGAGGATTATGCTATGCTGTTTGCGACGCTTATTTCTCGATGCGCGAAGGACATAGATACCCTGATCGAGTCGTTACCCAGTGAGGAGAGCTCGACCGAGCTGCAGGTGCAAAGCTTGAGACGTTTGGAGGCAGAGAACAAAGAGGCTGCTGAACAACTTGAGGAGGTAAGGCACTGCTTGATTACTACTCCAAATTTCTCACATTTTTGTAGACACGTGCTATTTTTCGATAATTACTATGAAACATAATTAATTAATAATATTTCCTAGCATACTAGTACTTTGTTAGTTTGTAGATACCTCTGCAATATTGCAACAATCCCAAGTGTACTTTCTCTCTTGCAGGTGGTTCGTCAGGGTGAGATTCTGCTGGAGAAGATTCAAGGAGCTCTGAGTGATATCGCTCAGTGCCAGTTGGACATGCAGAACCCTGCACTAATCCTCAATAAGGATGTAAAGCCACAGTTATAGGGCTCACGGAAACACGGTACTGATTACCGGAGGTGATGATCTGAGATGGACAATAGTAGAGTTTTGTGGATGTGTACTGTCTTTGCCTGTCTGTGATGGGGGCAGTGTAATCTATGTTGTTTGTTGCCAATTGTGGCTAGTTGCTAAAGTACTGAATTAAACAGTTATTTCTACTAAGTATTTTATTCTTACTATCAGTGGAAATAGTAGTGGTGGTTTAAATGAAGACGCCAATAAATACTTTTTCTTTCTTTCAAATGTTTTGTTATTGCTAGGAGGAAATTTTAATACATTACTTACATGTAAAGAGTTGCCTAAAATGTTCATTGGTCTTAGAAGTACTGTACTATTCTCATAGAAGATAGCAAAACTATGTGTACCCACCCATATTGAATTTAAAACGTCAAATATGTACAAAACAAGCATAGTGATCATTATAAAATAAAATGTACTGCTCTATCTAAATCAAGTTATACTAGTTTCATTTGCTTTTTTTGAAGTATTTTACCCAAAAGAGAAAATGTTTTGTTGCTTACACCATCTACTGTTGAAAAGGAGTAAACTTTTAAATTTTTATTTTATAAATTACTCACTAGATGTCGCTAAGAATACTGTTTCATAACTTCAAGAAAATGGAGATAGTTGTATTGTGCAAATAAAAGTGGTAAAATAATATACAGCTTAAATTAAATGTAATGTAATTGTAATTATTAAATACTATCGGCAGCGACGTGGTCCCAAACTTCTGACAGTCTTGAAAAATTCAGTCGTTTAGCTCGAGACGGAGGCGGGCTATACCCAGGGTCTCTGCGCGACAAAATACAAAATGTGGAAATTCTCCAACGAACCAAAGTCACCAACATAGCTCGTTAAATCTGCAGGCTAAAGTGGCAATGGGCAGGCCACGTCGCTCGAAGGCGGACGGCCGATGGGCCCGAAAAACACGTCAGGCCTCCCGCTAGGTGGACCGACGATATCGTCAGAGTCGCGGGGAGCCAATGGACGCAGGTGGCAACTTTTCGTTCGACGTGGAAGACTAAGAGGGAGGTTTTTGTTCAGCAGTGGACGTCTTCCGGTTGATGATGATGATCGGAAGCAAAATTATCGATTTTGGCTTGGCTTGTTGAGTCAATTTCGGTATTTCGGTAACTACCGATTGGTGGGTTACGTGTTTTGTTTTTCCTGGGTACAACAAGTACTTATTACGTGGTGTACCCAATGATGTATTATATAATACGTCATTGGGTGTACCTAAATAATTAAATGTATTCAAGTTTGTCAAATTTAAAAAAAAAATATCGTGTAAGCGCGAGTGATTTTATATTACCTATAGGTCGGCAAACGGTCGTAGAGTTCATCTGATTGTATGCAATTGGCGCTGCCCGTGGACACCACCAACATCGATGAGTTACAATTGTGTTGTCGACACTTGGGGGTTACGATATTGAGGATTGGGGGTAGGTATATTATATTGAATGCAATGTATTATTTATATCGTGACCGTCTAGTGTATTTAGATAGCAAAAGTAAAACAAAGTAGCTTCTGTTCCTGTACCTAAGCTTAAATCTTTAAACCCACGCAACGGATTTTAATACGGTTCTTTAATAGTTAGTGTTTGAAGAGGGAGGTTTATATAGTATGTACAATAGCATCCATTAAATAGTGAAGAATTTTAGTATCAGCATTTCCCTGGTGCGAAGCCGATGCGGATCGCTAGTTTGTTCTTGAGGAAGAAGTACCTAAGTAAATGCCTAACTGCTGAAAAGTGACCGTTACAGCCAAACTGCGACCTCTGCCTATTCCGGCAGTCCGGCACTGATTAAAAGGCTTCACAATACACGTGGATGATGTAGTGTAGGTAGGTAGGTACCTACATAGTTATTTTAAATTATTTTCAAAAACGAAAGTGTGTATTGGTGTGCGGGCGCCTCGTCTGTTATTACTAACATAACATAAAATGTACACGTAGGTGTAATAGATATCGTACCAGCCAATATTTATGTTTAATTAACACTCATTTATGATTTATGATCGAGAGCTTGCCATTTTCTGTAGCAACTGTAAACACTTTCACATTTCCGAAGAAATCACATCGATGTCTTTATTCTAAGGACGGGAAGGAAGTTTCTCTCCATCCTGGTTTCGTCCCTTTATGTCCGGCTCAAACCGGCCGAGCATTGAAGCTCTAATCGAAGAACCTTTACAAGTTTACATTCACATGCGGCCCGCGCCCAGCCTCTCGCCGCCACCGACCGACGCTTCACTCACCTGCAGTTGATAACCAACCTCTTTGCCGTGAGCACGCTCCACGCTTCACGCTACCGGTTTTGATCGCACCTCTATAGTGACGTACGATTTTGAATTCGAAATTTTCGAATGCAACGAAGTTCGTTCATCAATTTTTCGAAATTTAAAATTAGCAATAATGGACTCTGAACTGTGTGGCTGTTTATTTTTATAATTTTTTAAAGTGTTCGTTTTTTCTTTACGTTTTGATCATTGTACTTTTTTAAAAGTGTTAAGGGAGTGAATGTGATATTTTGGAAAACGCCCGGAAGGACGGGTTAGCTCTTCGTTCACGCTTCCGTGACAGGTGAGTGTGTACAAAACCTCGTTACCTATGTGGTATAAAATTGTTTACATTTACGTAAGCTATCCAACACTATCTATTAATTAAAACTTTAAGTCCGTTATCGTTAATTGGCGAACAGATTGTCATACAGGATCAGGATTTTCCAGTAATTTCCAGTTTAACGCGGCATTGATATTGAAAACTGCAGTTTTCGCTTCTATCTAGCAACTTTCTATAATTACATACCTTAATACCAGTTAGCAATTAAATTAGATTCTGATTGAAAAGCACGCCAGACATTCTCCAGGTATTTTCTCTGTATTTTACATTTACATTTTCTTCGTAAGAGAATGAAATATTTAGGTAATTTTCTTTAATCGCTGACGGTTAAAGATATTACGTAGGTACACTGACTGTTTAAACAATAATTAAATTTTATACAATTTCTCCAAATATGTACTCATTAAACTCAAGTAATTAAGTGCGATCATGCTATCATACGTTTGAAAGTTAAAGAAAGTTCCGAATGTCGACAAAAAGTGGCGAAAACCGCGCGTTTAACATTATCTTTCAACTGAATTAAGACTACAAATATGTACGTACTTATGTATGTATCTTCATAAGTTTAGTAACAACTTTGGCTCGACCGGAGTGATACCACGGCATCACAGAAAACCGGCGTGAAACAACCATGACAGCGTTGTGTTTCGCCGTGTGAGTGAGGTTACCGGTGGCCCAATCCCTTCCCCTATCCACATCCTTTCCCAATCCTTAAACATCTGAATCTAAGGGATTTAAATTCCCTAAAAGGCCGCCAACGCACTCGTAACTCCTTTGGTTTTGCGGCTGTCCATGGGCAGCGCTGAATGCTTACCATCAGGTAATCCGACTGGTCGTTTGCCGACCTATATCTACCTTAAAAAATACTTGCTCGTGTGTCAGTTATTGAAACATAATAGTAAAACAAAAAATATATTTAGGTTTCTATACAGGTGCAACTTGCACCAATCAAGATAATTATTTTTAGCCGACTTCAATAAAAAGGAGGTCTTGTTTGCCAGGGTCTTATTATCGAGTATAGTAGTAGTAGTATATATAGCTTAGGTTTTTCTAACTCACATGTAGGTTACCTAAGTAAATTAATACTTCTAATTCCAAGAATACGCAATTGGTGTATTGTTTGCATTCTACCAATGTTATTTTATACCAAAGTGTGTCTAGGTACTTGCCTAGGTCTATTTTTTACTTAGCTAACAATACCTATACTTATAACAAATCAACATTAGTAAGCGTATTGGTACCTAAGTGAATAAATAGTATATGCGTACCTACTTAATAACGTGACTGTAAATAGCTGCATTAAGTTTTCATATTATTATATGTTGTTCTTTTATTGAAAACAAAAAATCGGTTTTCTTTCACCATCTTCATTATGAGCCAAACTTTTCTACTCATCCCTAATCCTTTCTTTAACCCTCAAAATTCAGGCGAATGTCTTGTAGGTAAATCCTTGTGCCTACGGGCGGCGCTGATTGCGTACGTACTAAGTATCTGCCTGCTTGTTTGCCAACTTATCCCATAATAGAGCTAGCTTTCATGCAATGCTGGATATCGCTCTTTTTTCTCCGTTTGTGGCGAGTAGGAGTGTCAGACTGATACTGACTAAAAACGAGCTGCTTCTTAAGCTCTTTGCATCCAATAATTGTCAGATATTATGCATGTTGTTACTATCACTATTCTACTGCGGCTTTTTTATTCGTTTACAATTTTACACAGTAGGAATTTTCAAATTTTCAGGGTAGGAGAAGCCATAAGACGATTTTCCCTCGTCGATAAAAGACAAAAGTCCCAAATTAGGAGAAAGGGAGATTACTCTTATTAATTAAAATCACCCCTATCCCTACCGAGGAAAAATTACCAACTTGTGTTTCGAGCTGCGTTCTGATATGCCATTGCGCTTGCCACGCAGGCCGTCCATAGGTAATCCCGGCCCGTCATCGAAATAGGCAAGGGTTGTTACTTGATAAATCCTTAGTTATGGCTCTACAATATTTGTTTTAACAATTTAGTCTAGAAATTCGATTAATTGGTGTTATTACGCCAAACAATCAGTTCTCCACAACGTTTAATAAACGAGAATAAATGAAAAACTACTAATTTAATATCCCCGCTATTTGTATAAATCTCCTGTAGGTACGAAGGGCGCCTGTCCTTGGAACACTACATTGATTGCGTAATATAAGTACTTACAATTTATAATTTTAGGAGGATATAGAGAGAAATGTAGGTATCTTAATGTGCTTTAATTATTTATGTATTTATTTACCTTTGCCATTTGAACTCCGATATCTTCGCCATATTTTGAGAAGAGGAAGATCTTATCTAACGTATTATAAATGTACCATCTATAACAGATATATTGTACCTACATAATTTAAACAGCTAGTGACTGTCCATTGACCCTTGATCTGCAAAAACGTCTGCGAGGAAATTGGAAGGTTATTTCAATGTAATTTTATACTTAACTACTTATATTTATGAACTGTTTTTCGCTATCATCGAAATGAAAGCTATTTGAACATTAATTAGGTATCAACTTTTGTCTGAATTACATACAATTTACCTATCAACCAATTTATTAGTGTTAGCGATGACCCCAAATTAGAGTAAGATGCCTTTAAATAATTAATTTAAGCGTTGAAAATGAATGTAAAATTATCAAATGATTAGTAATAATTAACGTAAGTAATTCACGTAAGATATTATGAATATAATTATTAATAGAAAAATATTAATGTGATATTGTATAAATTAAAAGAAAAGAATTTGTAATTACATGTAACATAACCGCAGCCAGAGGGCGCCACTTGTACGATGGTCGCAAAAGCTTAAGTACCACGAAGCTTTACCGTAGCGAGACCATGTAATAGTTTTTTACGATTTTAAAGCAGAAAAATGTTTATTTTATGTTAGTTTTAAGTGTAAAATGTTAGAATAAGTTATTATTAATGTTAAAATAATATTTATCACCTTGTAAAGGAAGCCCAAATACGGAAAACTGAAAAATAAGATTTCCCCATACAAACTAGACAGTTTCTAAGTGTAAAAAACCTAAAACGCTCTGATTGGCTGCCGCCAAATGGATAGTGCCGTGTGCAAACTCCGAGCGTTCTGATTGGCTGAAGGTCTCTATAAAAGAAGGCAGTTTTCCTTGGTTGGGCATTCTGAATCCAGCAGTACTACGAAAAGGAATATAAAAGAAGAACTTAAGGAAAATAAAAGAAGAACTTTGCAATCAAGGAAGTGTTTATTCTGAACGCCGACACCTCTTGCCAAGCTACTCCCGCCAGCGCAAAATAAATTCGTTCTACAGCCTCAGCTGCAACAAATGGTCCTTCGAGCCGGATCGGGATTAATAGTTTGAAGAAGATGCCTACTACAAGAGGAGGTTCTGTGCGTTCGAAAACTACAGGAGAAAGTTCTACGTCATCAGATTGGAGTATGAATACGCCGAGTGATTCTACAAGTACGTCGGCCACGTCCACCTTGAGTCGGTCAACACTGACAAAACGGACGCCGCCGCCCAGTGTACGATCACACCGATCGCCCGTACTCCAACCAGATACTGTTGGAGAAGAATCAACACAGGGGAAAGATGCTCAGTCTGATCCCCTGACTAGCGCCACCAGCAAGCAAAGCGAAGCCACAGAAACTGCGAGACAAGAAGAAGACTCTTCCACGCCGCAGGGCGAAAACCAAAACATCGCCGTAGTGGCCCGACGGAATATAAGGAGCACGCCCACGTCAAGGGAAGAAAGCCTTCAGCAACCTCATCGTTCAGCGAAGCCAACCCGTGACGTAGACGCGCAATCCGACCGCTCCTTGCGAAAGAAGAGGGCTGAAGCCCAGGCCAAAATGACGCTAGCACTAAGAAATCTAGAAGTAGCCGAAGCGCGATCCAGGCTAGCTCAAGCAGAGCTAGACCTCATCGCCGCAGATTCCGAGGAAGAGGATGGCGCTGGCCAAGAAATATACGAGCAAACTCGAGAAGTTGAAAAATGGATCATCCATACAGCAGCCGGTACAGCACCCGATAAGGAACGAATACCGGCTGAAACTGAAGAAAAGAAGAGTGACATCCAGGAGTTGGCTCAAGTAATACTCAAGCTCGCCGACAAGTCACGTGATCTTACAACGCCTAAGCACCTTGAGCTCCCGCACTTTAATGGGGCCTGTGAAGAATGGTTAGCATTCAAAAGATCATATGAAGACATGGCTGACTCCTTCAACAACACCCAGAATCTGGCGCGCCTTAGAAGAGCAATCCAGGGAAAAGCCAGGGAGGCGGTTCACAGCCTTCTGTTCACTGCTGAAGACCCGCGTGAAGTCATCAAAGGCCTAGAAGCTAGATTCGGACGTCCTGGAGCCCTGGCATTGGCTGAATTAGAGAAACTAAAAAATTTACCGAAGGTCAATGAAAACCCAAGTGAAATTTGTGTATTCGCAAGCAAAGTCAAGAATGCTGTTGCTACGATCAAAGCCTTAAAGAAACCTCAGTATCTCAGTTCACCTGAAACCATGAAGGTAATAACAGACAAGATGCCACCGTCCATGAAATTCAGATGGTTCTCATACCACAGAAGCCGAAGAAATGAAGACCTGCAAGAGTTAGCACTTATAGAAGAGTTCCTAGAAATAGAAGCAGACATGTGCGGAGACTTCGCTCCACTCGACACAACAGTGGAACAAAAGAAGACGATAAGAAAATCCGTACATGCTGTTCAACAAGAATCAGAAGAAAAACAGAAGACATGCCCAAACTGTCAAGAAGAACACCACTTGTCAGATTGCAAAGCATTCAAAGAGGCCAACATAAACGAAAAATGGGAAATAGTGAAAAGAGCCAAGATCTGTTTCAAGTGTCTTCGCTTCAGGCACTCAAGAATCAACTGTAGAGCTCCAGTATGCAAGAAGTGTAAAAGATGGCATCACACTATATTACATTCCGACAAACCACCGGT